GTGAGAGAATGATAAGGCGTACAAACTTTCGGTTTTGACGAATTTCTATAGCTTTTATCACTACAATTTTCGGCTTAATTAAGTTTTGTGGCATTGCTGTCTCATAACCATCCGTATTTGGAATGGCACTGTATTGTATATTTTGCCCACGGTAAAGGAGGTTAAGAGTTCACTTTTTGACTGGAGGAGTTATAGAAAGTTTGTCTAGCTCCCGTAGTCTATGTTGCTCCTGAAACTTACTTAACCCTTCGTCAATGAACATGAGTGGGATACTAAAATATTAATAATTGATCGCGAACAACAGAGCGTATATAGTCAAAAACTTTAATTCGGGTGTTTTAAACCCATGTTCAATGACGACATAACATATTTTATACGTGTGCAGTTGCATGTAACATTGCATCATGGCGACCAATCCGCAAAATTCGACTTTTTGGAGACGTTTTTTTTTTTGTCATAATGTTACATACAATTTGATTTAGTTTTCGCGAATGTTTTTTTTTTATCGTTCCTTATGCCGTAAAAGATGCCAAGAGTGGCCATTACACAAGAAAAGACAAACTAAACACACTTGTGTACACTGCGGCTAATATTTTTGTAGGCAGCAGGCTAATATGTGCTGCAAAATTTGCACTTTTCCAGATAGCTCAGAATGGGTCTCAGCGTCTAAAAAAACTTATGTACATACACAACTATGTGTGAAAATATTTTTTTTATTCTTACTTTATAAAATTTTTAACAGTTTTTCTGCTACCTTTTTTTTTTTCATTACATAACTGAAAGCACTTACTTTTGTGCATTTTTTTAATGTGTATATTTTCTCTCGTTTGTGACTCACCCAGTTTATCGACGGTGTGGCAAAAAATATGTTCATTGACGGCGGGTTAAGACATCTATTTACCACTCGAGGATGATGCTGGCAATCCTAAATTCTGGCGTAGAAGTTCATCGAACTGTCTTTAGGGTAATTGAGGTGACTGTGTTCTGCAGCTGTTTCCCGCAATATCCAATGACTTATAGAATTTTAATATAGTCTGCCCACAACAGCTACCACCGCAAGTTCTGCTGCGCAAGCGCTCGTTTGTCCTCTGCGGACAAGTCAAATGCGAAAATGTGCAACTGTACGCGTAGTAGTGACCATAAACGACATAAAAGCTCCAAGAGATATACTTGACAAACAATTGCAGATGTACTCGTATACAAGTGTTCTAAAAATAGCAATCATGTTGCTATGCTTCGAATGCACCTGAGCCGAACCATTAGTGCCTTCAAGAGCATACGAATGTTGTACGTTTAACTTAGTCCCAAGCGTCTTCAAATTAAACTGTCTTACGCAGGATAAGGCAAACCGCAAACATCAACGCAGGCGCAGCTACGTGTATGTTGGCTGATATTACATTTGCTTATAGGGAACAATAATATTATAAGAAGAAGGAGTACGTATATAGAAGAAACGGAAAAGAATGAAACCGACCGTGACGAGTCGAGATAGAGGAAGTCAACAGAAAGTCAAATGATCTAAGAACAATAATACCAACCGAAGACAACAAACAATCCCGTACGAGTGATTGGGTTCTGGCACTCGTATTCAAGTTTGTGGAAGCTTCCACTTACTGCCAATATGCAATACAAGGGGACGGCTGTTTTCAGCAGCAGCTGCAAGTTATTGGTTATTTCGATTGCCGGCAGTGCGGATGATTAAGCGAATATGGTAGTCGTGTATCTGTATATACATGTAGATAATCGATACAGCGGAGGATTGCAAGAGTTGATATTAAAAAAAAACCAACGGAGTGAAATATATTACATTATTATATAGTTTTTGGAAAACAGGATAAATATTACTCTGCTGTGCTTTTCAGGTGGTTCTTACAAACACCTCACTGTCAAAGCAACGGCCGAAAAGTTCAAACAAAAACATTTGAAAATTCTCAATGTAGCCATAATAAGAAAACTCGGCGCATATGTACGTTAAAAAGTTATTCATTCAGCTAAATCAGCAATACGAAAACGAATAAAGCTTATGGCAGCTTTGCGAAAAAGGTCAACTCATTTCATCAAAGAACCGACAGTGGCAACGAAAGCCTTTAAATACCAAAAAAAAAAACAAGCAAACAAGCAAACAATTGTATGTTTATACATTTGCCAAACCCCGATAATGAAGTGGCAATGCCAGACAACCAAATAAATGAGGGGGAAACAGAGTTGCTGTACTGCTACATTGGTCAATGTGGGCCTATGAAGCCACGGCACGGCACAGCTTGGCACGCCATCCTATGCTACCATACAGCATTAACCGCTGCTACCAATGTGTTGCTGCTAAGCGCGTTTGTGGCGCTTAATCCACCAGCCGGCCGGACTGCCAGCAACAGTAACCAGTTTGTGTCTACAGACATTAACAGCATGCAAGGCGGCCAAAAAACTGGTTTGCTCCTACTGATTCACACTATTATTGGTCTTACAAACTTGTAGATATATGCTGTTTACCGCGGCCATAATGCCAGTTTCCGTATGTGTGCTTTTGTTTTGATCTTTTCTTTCTCTTAACTAAATTTGCTTTACTTTTCTTCTTCTTTAGTCCTTTTTCCGCCGCTGTGGGGCTTCATCATAGTTGGCGGTGTTGAATATTTATGTTTATTACAAGTTGTTCGCCGCTTCCTTGTGATTGAATTCTTCATACAATTTTTCATTCACTTTCTTTAGGATTAACCTTTTTCCCGTGTATTCAGTTTTCTCCCGTGAATTTAATAAGAAATAATGAAAACAGCAACAACTATCACCAGTTCTTGATTGATTTTTCTCCATTCTTGACCAACAACTAAAAACAAGGAAAAAGGAAAATATGCGATGATCAATTATTCCAAGTAACAGCATTAGTACTGAACTGCAAAGCCAAGTCGAAACGTACGCCAACTAACCACACGACATCATGCTAGGCAACACTAGACGATCCAACACGCCGCTAAAAGCACGCGAAGCACGAAATAGTGTGTGTAACAAAGATGAATGATCTGCACCGAACGAAGATAAACAGATCGAAATAGCAAGCGAATAGCGCGATTGTATAATGCTAGAAGTGAAACAACAAAAAATTAAATGCTTTTATAATGATTTGAATATTTAAAAGCACGACATTTATTCCTATTTAGGACACAAGTAGATATTAAGTCAAGCCAGACTCCACTTTACATAACTTCTGCAATGGAGCAGGGTTGGATTTTTCTATATTGGGAACTTTTAAAGCTGCAAGGTGGTTCCCCTTTGTTCAGAGAGTATGATATAGCGAGCTTAGCGGCAATCTCTTTATTCGGGGCAATGTTGGGACCTGTCTATCAAGAGTATTTATGTTGCAGAACCTAATTTTGGTGTGGAATAATGTGGCTAGATGTTCATCCACTTGCGGGAATATCAGTACCCGGCAGCAGACTCGACCACAAATTCAACACCAAATTTGGTTTCCCAAAAATAAATGAACAAATTTGCCAATGTATTCTCAGATATGTGCTCTTTTTGTTATTAGTCTTTTCGCCACGCTTTCCTCGAAGCACTTTTGCTTCTGTTTTCATTATTGTATTCGCATTTGAAATACGCTAGCCGAGAGCTCTCCAGCGATCATTAACCTTTTTCTTCTTGCTTTAGCCATAAACACTAACAATAAAAGTAACAACTAGACCTTCAGCGAATTATTGCTTTAAAAAAAGAAAACCTGCTTGTATTACATATATACAAATATCTATATTCACACAACTACAAATCGAGCATTCCAAAGAGCAACTCGCCGAACACTTTTAGGAAAAGCCGAAATAAGCCAAAAGAACTTGTCAGAATAATAACAATAACGAAAGTGGTACTGAAGACACATCGTAAACGGATACTGTTGGGAATCATTAGGCGTTTGACGCACATACTCATTCGCTGTTATTTGTACAAACACAGTTTGCTTGGGTTTAGATGCGCGTGTGCGCCTGAGCGTAGGTTGCTTGCCAGGCAGGCAGGCAGGCAAGTGAGCATCAGATACATTTTTAGATGTACGTGAGTACTTATACATGTATTTATGTGCAAATGTATGTACATCTGGTTTATTTTTACGCGTAGTAGAGGCGTTTGCTCGCCGGTTCGATCGTTCGGCGGTCGGTCGTTCGTTGGTGGCAAGTTGATTGTCGCGCGTGCGCGTTGCAGCTGTTCGCTTTGCTTACACGCTAACCATAATTTGATTTGATTTATGTATTTTAGCTGCCGTCTGGCATCGGTGCGTCACCACATGTGTGGGACTTTACGTATGATAAAGTAGGTAAAATCTATAGTTATGAGGTTAAGGAATACAGCAACATTATATAAGCATCTTATTGGTAGCAAGTACATATACATACATACATATATGGATGCATTGTATGTAGGTGTTCTCCACTTGCGTGTTCTTTTATAGTGACTTTCGTCTGTTTGTTTTTTTTTTTTATTACATCTGATGGTGTTGGTATATCACTTAAGAAAATCTTTTTTTTTTTTTATACTATTACTTTAGAAAGTAAGGCTCGCTTAAAACTATTTCAGCCGAGCTTTACTCAAGTTTCGGGGCTACAAGCCAAACTACGCTGACCCATTGCTTTCACTGTTACTCACTCTTCCCCTGCAGCTGTTCGATAGATAGTCCGGGCTCTTAATTTAGATCGTTTTTATTCATAGAAACAATTTTAGCTTGCAAATCGCATAATGGATTACTTTTCTCTTGATATAATAATTTAATTGTAATTAATCGGAAGTTTATTTTAAGATCTTCTGCCGCTTTCAATTTCTCATAGAAGATGTGTTTGAATTCCTGGAAAATAGCATGAAAAACGGCTATGAAAATCTGAGTGGCCTAAACTTATGATTATTTTTATATGTACATTTGTATGTATGTACTATATATCTAACATATTCTTTCTATATAAATGTATGTACCTTTGGCAAAGTTATCTTAATTTTTCTCACTCTTCATCTTTCCTTATTCTCTTTTTTAGCCAAATTCAAACTCAAAGGGCATAAGGGCTCACATCTAAAAACAAAACAAACCCACTATTTCATCTCCTGGATTGTAAACTTATGATTTTACAAAATCTAAACAAGTTGTAGGTAATTTCAACCCAAACTAAAAAGTAATCTCGAAAATATGAAATAAATTCGACAAAAAACATTGAAGAATGGTAAATAAAATAAAGTGAAAACGTAATAAAAGAAAAGTACAGTGTTCAAAGACGTGTTTTTTTATAAAGTGTATAAAAGTATTGTAAAGCAAGCTGCAAAAGTTTTTGTCTGTCTACATATGTAAATGTAAAATATGCAGATTTGTTGAATCTAAAAAATATTAATACATAATATAAAAAATTAAGACTAAGAGTAAAACAGTAGAGGAAAAAATTATAAAATATAGAAACATAATAACTGTATGTAAAAATGTCAACGTTATTTTTCAAAATTAAAATGCGACAAAGTACTTTGCGGCACAGCAAACGAATGTCATTGTCGCACCACAGTGCAGTGTCGTGTTTGTGAAATAACTAAATAAATGTGGGAAAATCTGATTCAAATTATAAACACGCCAAAAACTATAGCTAAGGCAGTAAAAAGGCTTTAACGAAGTTAATTAATTAAAGGTAGAGAGAAGAGTGCATATGAAAAATTTTCGTGTATGTATGTATGTATGTACCAAAATCCAAGTATTTAACCACTAAAGAGTGTTAGCAATCAACATTTGTGTTTTTGTTGCTATCAAACTAAATAGAATATTCCTCAAAACTACCAACCCGCTCTTCTTCTCCCTGCGTACGCGTTTTGTGTATGTGCAAGTGAATTTATAAAGAAAATCTCTTTTACATAAGCAGCTGATAATAAAGAGAATTTCATCTATGTATAGAATAGAGGATACCAGCGGTGCCGCAATGGATAAAACCAAGCAGAAATGTAAGTGGAAAGTTTTGCATACAACTCAAAATATTTTCTAATTTTAGTAGTAATAATTTATTGTTTATATGTAATGAATGTTATTATTGTTGGTGTTATTTATAGGTGGTACTTACTCAATGCCTTAACATGTATTAAGAAACATGCGATAATAATTTTAAGAAGCCAAGTGATGGTTTTTTTACTTTTAAAAACTTGCGATAGGGAAACAAAATTAGTTGGTCTAATTTTTTTTTCAAAATAGTTTTTTTTTAATATTTTAGTGAGTTATTAAATAAAATTTAAGATTTTATATCTTACAGTATAAATTTAGGATAGCTTACCCTATGAAAAACCACCTTTCCAACTTATCTTTGGGACTTTTAATTTGTGGTTACTATTATCCTATATCTCACAGGGCTACAGCGATTCAGTTTTCTTTCATTACATTTGCTTTTTTTTTATTGTTTTTTAAGTTTTTATTTTTTGCTTTGCTTTTATATTTTTTTAATTTTTTTTATAATTTTATCTCAACCCACTTTTTGGGTTGACTGCATTCACCTCAAGAACTAATTATTGTCTACCATTTAGCAAAACATTGGCTGCTGTTTTGTACTACCTTGCATCAATTACTACTCATTTATTTACATATTAATTTTAGGGTGATTCATATGGTTTAAGTCTTTTTTTTTTAATATACATACTCGTATTCAGCATCTACTGCTCAAAATATATTTTTTTTTTCTTTCCCTTTCTAATAAATAAATATATAATATTTAGCAATATATATTAATTGTGTTCGACTTTAGCTTAAATAGGAAAGTTTACAGGTGTTTGATTTTTTTTTATTATTTAGAGATTCATAGTCGTATGTGTATTAATATTTTTTTGGAATTATTTTAAAACCATTCATATAAAATAGAAATTAATTTTTACCTTAAACTTTCAGAAAACAGACAGTTTTAAAATTGAAACCAAAATAGTCAATTTTTCATCACAATGATAATGTTCGTTTTACTAAAGAAATGCAGGTTCCTAAATCTTTGCGCCAAGTCAAGAATGCTAGGCAATCAAGAAGACTGAGCTTTGCCATTTTTTCGGTTTAGCAACACTTCTGCTTCCCTGGTTGAGTCATTTGGCATTTTTTTTCCTCTCAATATGTGCTGACTTACCGATGCTATTAAAATAAATCATGTAGTCATGGTGCCGCTGATTATATTTTTTATATAAAAATTATTTTTAATAGATACCGTCGCATATGGTAGAGCTAAAAATAATGCCCACGTGTCTGCAATGGCACAAAATTTTGTCAATCAATTACTTTAAGAACATAAAAGTAAATGTTGAGCCAAAGACACTACGGTAGTCACGCCTTATGGGGACAATTATGTATGTATATGTGTGGATTTTTATACATATATTGCAAATGACTTCAACGCCATTTCTTGCGGCTTTCATGGGTGTGATCTACGTCGCAACTGTTGCATTTTGAACATTAACTGAGCTGCGCAACTTTTTACCAACAACACCCAGCTTAAATATGTATGTGCAATTCCATGCAGTGAAACTACCTCGATGAATGCCCTTATGAATATAAGGGATTTCTACAATATCAAAAATAAAGAAATAAAATGCCGTGACGACATTATGTTTCAGGCGACAACTGCGAGGGGGACGCAGATGGTCACTCGAATGACAAAATACTTGACAGAAATAAGTTAACAAAAAATAAATAAAATAGAAAAGAAAGAAAAACATCAAAAAAAAAAAAGAAAACATAATCGAATATAGCGCTGATTTGATGAAAACTTAAGTGATTTGCATCAACCTCTCTTAATTCTCAGCTGAATGTCAGCTAAAAAGTCTTTCTTGTGTGCAAGCATGAGCTTATACGGAAAACAAAAACAAAAAAGAAAATCTAGCGACAGGAGCTTCGCTTTGCGCTTAAGACCAAAAGCGAAGTAACAATATTAAATTAAGCAATGAAACGAGACAATTAACAAGAGACACTAATAGGTTTTTCGGGATATAAGAAATGGTAGAATCCACAAGTTAGTCATATGAAAATAAGTAAAATGTTTATTTTTGGTAAATTAAGAAGAACGTCAACGGAAAATGTCAAAGCAGCGGTTGAATAAACGATAATTCAGCAAACACTGGCACTGGCACTGGTGACGTGAGGACCGCGTTGTATTGGGAGGATGTCGAATATGTATAGGTGGCAGAAAATTTACGTACGCAATACAGACAACAAACATTGGAAAGGGATCAATGTGCAACATACATATGTACAATAAATATACATTTGTGCAATGCTCCCGAATGCTAAATTTAAAAATTTAAGGAAAGAAGCATTTTATAATATAAAAGAAAGACAGCAAGTAAAGGGAATGGAATGCACAGCCACAGTGTGTGCGGTGCCTTGAAGAAAGGTACGGTAATAAAGCTACTTGATGGTTATGGGACTGCCGTTGAACGCTTTACGACGCACCCTATTATAGCTGCTTAAAATTAGACAACCAGATAGCAAAAATAAAAGTAAAAATAAAAATAAAAAAGCAATAAAAACAAAAGTAAAACAAAAACACGCACTAGTTTATTGAACTCAAGTGGAAAAAATTAAAAGCTTCAATTTGAAAGGCGAACAATAATAAAACGTTACCGAAAATAGAAAGCTCCGAATTGTGGGAATATTTTTTATTTTCATATGTTATCGGTAGCGTTAAACGCGGCTTTCGACGGAAACATTTTTTCATTTTCTTGGCTTTCTACTTAAACCAAAGCACAAAATCTTCAAGGTTGCAGCACAAAAATTATACTTTATATAATTAGTTCGTTACGTTTTTTACACATATTATTTTAATTTAGAGTAAAAAAAATATATTTTGGTACATACATGTACTGTACATATGTATGTATATAAAAAAAAACATATGTATTGCCGCAAAAACGGTCGAAAATTGGAATTTATTCGGCCAGCAGTCTAATTTTCTACAGTACGAATGATTGGTCTCAGTTTGCTTAAATCTCTGTGTTTTCGTTTGAATTTTTAAATTTTTATATTGATTTGTGGTTGGAACAATCCTTGTCTATTTTTTGCTCCTCACCAGCTACAAGCAATTGAAGACTAAAATTTTCGCCTAATACTTTTTAGAGAAAAATGTGTAGGCATTTATGTGTATTTCTATAAATAAGTGCACGCAATCCTCTGCATAAATCGTAAAAAAATATCAAGAGGCAGCAAGAGCTAGGCAATTGGCATAAAACAAAATATCCACCCGAATATTCATTAAAAAAAAAAATCATTCGCATACTTGTGGGCATACAACAACAATATATATATGCATAAATACATATTTAAAATGTGTGACGAGTTGAGTTGATTTAGCTATGTCCGCCTGTCTGTTTGTACGCCAACCAGTCCTTCCAGTTTTGAAATATTTCTACCAAACTTGGTGCATAGATGCACTGGTACATTTAAATGATCGACCGCGTCCTGGAACGACCAACATCCAAAAAATTTAGACTTGAAATAAAGGCTCCTCATAAAAACCCAACATGAAGAAGCACGCCACAAATTGAAGGAGGGACTCGGCCGAAAATCGCTTCAGCGGTTACAAAGCGCCGCTCATATATATATATTTATATAAGAGCGTGAAATTTAATATTCCGCATCATATAATGGGTTACACTTTGCATCAGAAAATCATCGAAATCGGACAATTTTTTTAGATATGAGACTTCGGTCAAACACTCCGTCAGAATGGCATTTAATGGTACGAAATTCGTTATGATACAAACAAATATTATCAGTGAAAATCGTCGAAATCGAAGGACTATATCATGTAGCTTCTATGTAACCGATTTATTCAGGTATGAAAATATTTAATCCTAAAATGAAATACCTCTAAAGTTGACTGGTAAGGTATGAAGGCCAAAGACTATTTTATTTTATTTTATTTTATTTTTTGGTTTACTTTTCCTAGTAACATAAAATATAAATTACCTTTAAATTATATTGCAATATAAACTACTTAAATATAAAATTTGCTTGTAGAAAGAATACTTTGCTCTTTATTCTGCGAAGGAAATCGCTAAAAATTTTCCAAGGTCAGTCAAGTATTTATTTACATAAATACATACTTACATAACAACCATAGAAACGCCCATGCCCATATGATACTTGTGAAAAGGTTTCAATCTGTTTGAGAACAAAGGATCTCATAGAAAAGAACACATCGCTTGTTTCAGGATACAAGAAATATTTGCATATTGCAACTACCTGGGCGTATATACTATTGTGGCGTATATATTTTAGCAAGGTTTTGAAGTTGCTGTTATCGCTCCTCTTCACCAGTCGTTCAAGATCTTTCGCGAGTGTGTGTTATCTGCTTTTTTATAAAATCTGAAAAGTGTAAATTTTCATCACAGTTTTTGTGTTGTGTTTTTTTGTTTTTGTGAACCGATCATGGCCGAAAATCGTCGATTTCCATATCGGGCTTCATCGCCTAATTCAACACCGAATGATCCGAGATATTTTTTTGACTTAACACCGTTTTCTCAAATGCATTCTATATCATTCGCTGATTTTTTTCGTGATAGTCTAGAGTTTTTTGCCCGAAATGAGGTCAGAAGTGACAGCAACAATAACAGCAATAACGAAGATGATGCTGATGATGAAGATCTAGACCAAGAAGTAGTAGCTTTGGATTTAGATGAAAATCTATCTGACTTGGCATGTGGTGGCGTAGACCCGGCGTCAGATGTTGATACAGAATTGCATAATGCGATTTTGGGTTTAAGCTTATTGAATATTCACAATCCTTCATTAGAAGGAAACAACAGTAATACTTTTATGCCAATTAGAGGTATGCCTACACAAACGAGTGCGTCGTCATCGTCGGGGAGCGGAACAGCAGGTGCCAATGTGTCTGTATTACCACGCTATTTACCAGTGCCACCTGATGCTCTACCTATGCCCCATTTCGATCATCCACACCTATGGCGCCCACGAAGTATCACACGCCCCTATCTAGCGGTTCCACCACATGCCTTACCAATGCCGAACTTTCCACCACGACGCGGTTTACAAAGGGGTAATGTTGAATATCAATATTTAATAATTTAAACTTGATTTTTTCTGCACAATCGAAGGTATTGTCCGCTGTAACGTATGAAAACTTTATTTAATAATATATTCATAATACCAAATATGTGCCATTGAGATAATTTTGAACAGCTAAATTCAACGTATAGCCGTTTTCCTCAGACCCTAAACAATATACATTGCATGCAAACACTGCCAAAGTTCGGTCAAAATCGAAGATAAATTAATACAAAATATTTCCCCATGAAATCATGAATTACGACCATACCATCCAAAGATTGACACCTAAAAAAGAGCAAACAAATCTGAGGGTAAATTATTTTTACTTATTTCACTCATCGGCCCCAGCAACATCAACAAACAAGATATTAGCAATAAAATAAAGTACTGAGAGAACTCAACACAAATGTTCGAGGAAAGAAAAAATAAAAGGGTCCTTTTTTATATGTTGACGAACATTAGGGTGATTAGTTAAACGCGGAAAAACACATCAATATGAGCATAAGCAAAAATTAAAATATGCATTGGATTTACACTGTCAAAGTTTTTTACAGAAAAAAAATTAATGCAATACACAATACGTTTCATATTTGTGTATTTCAATATTTTTCATTATTAATTTTATTGACTTGTCAAGTGGATATACAGATTTCGAAAATTTTCTGTTGATCTCCATTTCCTTACTTCGCTACATTTGTCTACTTACGCACCTGCACAACATACGTCAGTATGTACGTATGTACCATATTTTCCCTTTTTTTTGTCAATTTTTTCTTCTTATATTGGTTTTGCAAAATGCAAATAAGTAGCAACAAATACGAAAAGTATTTGGCTATTTTTGAAACCAAAACAGGCGCACATATGAATAGCGTTGAGATTTTTCGACTTTCGCGACCAACTGCAGTACTCAGTGGAATTTTGTGCGAAGCGGAAGATAAAAATCGAAAGAATAAATATTTTTTAGATTATCGGAGAAAGTAAAAAAATGCTGGTCTATTTATTAGTTTATATTCCAAGATAATGACAAAATAAAAAAAATACTTTTAAACCAGTACAATTATATTTTTTTATTTTATTTAAAATTACGGCATACAAAAAACAGATATGAGTATACTTGACATCATTTAATATTTCGAAAATAAAAGAAAAGCAATAAAAATATATTCTATTCTTCAGTACCTCGTAAATATTTGAGAAAAGTGAAAGAAAGGCAAAGGCGAATAAAAACACAAAACTTAAAAACAGCAACTTTTTTTATATTTTTTTTTTATTAAGCGAAATAAGACCAAAGTGAGCGTTTTAAAAATATTGCGAACATACCTCTTAGCCTTTAAGAAAATAGTCTTCGTTGCTTTTCTCCAAAATAAAACACCGCCTGCAAATTGATACAATAATCGATAACATGTCGGCCGCTGCCTTGAGTTATTGGCCATTTAGACTCAATAACGATTGGGAAATGTTAGATGCTGGCTCAACCACCAAAGATAAGAACGGCATTTTTAATAATTGCGACAGTAACAAAAACAATTTCACCGTTAGCAATGGTTTTGTGGTAAATGACCAGCAACTACTAAGAAAATGTAGGTTAACTTGGTTAAATAAAAAAAAATTATAAATCAATTTACTTTCATTGTAAATAAATCAAAACTTTAAAAAAAAAGATCTTTTAACTAACACCTTTTTAATTATTTTTATATCTTATTTTTTATTATGAATTTTTTTAATTATTTTAGTTTTAGATTCTCTTTTCTGGTTTAACTATTATTTATTATTTTTTTGTTTTTCTTCTTTTAATAAAATATTTTTTTTTAATTACTTACGATAATTTGTATCGCTTCTTAATTTTTCAACATTCTCAACCCCTCTTCTTTTAATTTCAATTCATCTAAGCACAATTTCAATTAAATAATTTCCCCAAAATATTCAAAATAGTGGTATGCAGCAGCGTTTTGCAAGAAATTTGTTTTATGTGAAATATTTAAAATTTTTCGTCTTACTTAAAAAATTAAAGACAAATCTTTATTGCGAAGAAAAACATTTTAAAATTTCACTTATCTCTTGACGAGATTTCACAAGCATTATCGCCATGGCGATCTTCGTCATCGTAAGCGCAGCTGCGACGCATTATTTTGCCAAATTTGCAAGAAATTTTTTATTCGCAGTTTTTCGTTTATAAAATGTGCCATATAGTGTAGAGCATGCAACTTTTGGTATGTGAGCAAATTGAACTATTTAACTGATCCGCCCGCCCGGATGCAACCACCTTTAGCCAACCTGACGTTGACAATTCACAAAAGTTGAGCGAGCGAGCGGGTTTGTAGGTGGTCAGAAGCCAAAAGGCATTCAAAAAGTAATGTATTCTCAGCCGCAGTCAACATAACTGAAAGCAATTGAAATGTTTTTTCTCTTTAAAATAATTTGATTTATATGTATGATATTTATACTATTGTATGTATGTATACAAATATGTACATATATACAAATATACTCATATCTAAACTTGTACTCGCGTAGCTGCCTTTTTTGGCAGTGCCAGTGTTTGAGTTGTTGTGTGACCGATTCAATTGCAGCCAAAAATATAAATTCGATTTTTTTTTCTGTGTAAAAATTGTGTAATATTCTTACAGGTTAAATAATTTAGGTTCTTCGTTCATATTTATATACCAGCACACAAATATGCTCTTCTATATTATTTATGCATCAATGAGCGTGCTCTAAAATGTGCTGCTATTTTCGTCATTTACAGACAAGTATGCATACATTTTTAAATTCACATTTGGGATCTCTCAATTTATAAAAGATTTTTGACTTTCTGTTATTTTTATTTCATTTCGCTAAAAAATTTCATTAGGTCACCCACGGCCCCCTTATGTATTTTCTCAGCTCAGCTATAAAATATTCTTATAAGCAAACATACATACATACATAAGTAATATACAAATGTATTTATGTATGCAGACCACCTCTCTGCGCGTCTTTAGTCACGCTCACGAGACTGTCTCACTTTTCAACAGCTTCTGGTATTTTTGTGCAGAGATCGTTCATAATTCTGTATATTTGTAACTGACGCCAAACCTATTGTCGGCATAGACGTGCAACGAGCACCTGTTGTGATGCGCCCGTTATTACCTTTTCCATTTTTTTGCATAAACATAATGATTTTTCTGCAATTTTCGTCAAATGTTTTTTTTTTTTTTTATCTGAGTTTATCAAAATAGTTGATAATATTTATTTGAAAAAATAATGCTCTTTTTATGTTTAAATATCTAATTGTATTTTATTTTCCATTTCCAGTATCGGCAGTTTATGTATCCAGCGGGGGTGGCGACACTGGACGTCAGCGTCATGCGCCGCTTTATGGGCGATTTGTGGATGAAGAAGAGCTTCCTGCAACACATCGTGATGTCATGCATCACGTAAGTTTTAAGTTTTTTCTATTGTTAGCAGTTATTTTTATTAATTTTTATTGCTTATTTTTTAACCCAGAAAGTTCTCGAAAATACTCAGTCGATCTTGATAAAAGTTTACACCGTCCTTCGCAATACAATTCATGAGGATTGTTTTTTTTCAATCCCAACTTTAAAAAATGTTGAGCAAACTTTGCCAAAAATCTGATTTTCTTTTGGTAATAAAAATATGCCGGAAATCCATTTTTGGTCTTAACTTAATCAGAAATTCTTTTTCAAATGCATATCTTTAAGACAGTAAACAGGTTTTATAAAGAATTTTATGTTTCATATATAATTTTTTTTTTTAAATAAGCCCGGAAATAACCCCTTAATAAAAGAAAATATATTTACTTTTGTAATTTTCTAGATGCTTCTATTTTGCTTTATGCTTGTCATCATTTTGCATTTTAACATTAGCATCGTAATAAATTTTTTAACATTCAATTTTGTCTATTTCCTATAGCGATCTAGTCCGACGTCATCGTCTGAGGTGCGCGCCATGCAGGCACGCATTCCAACACATTTTCGTGATCCAGCTACAGCGCCGTTACGAAAACTGAGTGTGGATTTAATAAAGACCTATAAACATATAAATGAGGTAAGTGTGGTGTGGTGGCAGTGGAAGGCATTTTTTTTTTTTTTGAAATTTCATTTTTAATATGAGTCGGGAAAATTTAATTTAAATACGGTATCCTTGTTTCCTTCTAATTAAATGAAATTATCTCCTTGTGATCTTATTCAAGCTCTTATTAGTGTTGTTGTTTCAATAAAATATATGTAGTTTTAAAGTCCAAATTTCTGCATTAATTTTTAACTTGTGGCAGTATCACTGCCCTTAACCTAAGCCGTTGAATCCGCCTGTGTCAACAACAATGAGTACACACACAAACATGTGCATACATTTGTACAGTTAAACATACATGAATTAAAACTGTCAATTTGGGATTCCTTCTTAAATAAATAATATCAATTTCCACTACTTATTTTTGGCTAATTTATCTTGCAATGATAATCAGGTGGCTGATAGTTTTTTATGTGGAGCCTCTTTCATGTCAGAAGTACACTCGGAGAAGTTGACATTCCCTGCCAAGGGACGTACGCAATTAAAAAATTTGGCTCAACCTTTTATTTAAATTAATTTTGTATAACTTTTTATAACTGCGGTCGCCTGCAACAGTATTGCTGTATAATATCCACGGCAATAATTATTTATTAACACATTTCTACTCGTCATCCTTTGTTGACCAACTATAAAGGCTTTTGGGCTCGCCATTTCAAACAACCATTGATTTTGCACATGGCAGCATATCGATAGCTATGAATGCCTGTATATATGTACATATCTACATATGTGTGCACATTAGTGAATCCTTCTATATACATATTCATTCAACCATTGACTTTTCCTCTTACCCTTTACGGAAATTTCATACCGCCAAAGGACTGTTGGCGCTTCGCACATCACAGCAGCAACAACAAACATCTCCGATTTCAGCGACTGCAAACCGCCCGTTCCACCATCGCAAAAGTCGCTGCGATGGCCGCCAACGACAGCTAGTTAGTTGGCTGTCTGTCGTCATATATGATCTGCACTTTGCCATAAATAGTTTCGTCTTCACTGGCTATTTGTCTGGCCATTTACATGACTTCCTCCCCGGTTATCTTTTGCTCGTTTCCCTGTCTGCGTGCGGCCAGCTAGCGTCCGCTGCTCTGCCAACGTCGAGGCTTCGGCATACACCCATTTTTAAGCGTTTCATTTCTATTTCTCTATATTTTTTACAATTTCTCTACATTGTTTCGTATATGTTTGTATTTTACGGCCGCAGCTGTTGGTATGGTTGGCTAACTAGGTGCCGAGTATTTAGTCGTCGCGGCGATGGCGTTGCTGCCTTTTAGGCGCACACAAGCATGACTTCGCCTTTGCTCTCGCAAGGCAGCGCTCCGCTGCAAAGAAAAGGCCTAAAATCCGCCTCGTAGCGAATTTGACGAATTTGATGAGTATGTGTGTGGCTCGTGCCTCTCTGCAAAATCTCTCCAAAAATGTTGCAGCATCATACTTTTCACATGTGTTGAGATGTCGTCGCACGTCCTTACTTAAATATGCCAATGCAGTATAGATACACTGCGCGCGCCTGCGCTAACGCAGAAAGACATATGTACATATATACATATTTATATAAGTAAATACATATAGCTATAGGTGTAACATACACCCATACAAAGAAGCAGGCGCGCGCATTTTCTGACCATTATCGACATTTCGACTTTCCCTGCTAATGTTTGTGGCGTTAGCAACAACTTTTTCTGTTCTGTCATTCTTCTTTCATTCCATTCCGGTTGGGTATGTACTCTCATCGCATAAGTGTGCATTCGTGTTTTAGGTAAGCACTGTTGCTACCCTCCGTTTGAAGCGCTCCCTCCCCTGCCACACAAATTCATTACCTTGTCAAATGTTCCTCCCTCTGCCTTTTCTGCTCTTTGCTTACATATACGTAACATATGCTTTTTGTCTGCCTGCTTAGCTGCCCGTCGTTTTGTCGTTCTACTGTTTACCTATTTCTTCCTCTAATTGTCTTATTTTTCCTATTTTCCTGTCACTTACTTGTTTAATTTTAGTATGAAAAGTAATTGAATAATTACTTCTTTGACGGCAAACATTTTCGAAACTGAAACAGAGGCATACTTACGGCGTATATACTAAATAAATAGATGCTTTCTCAAAGTCTGATTAAATAATATTTAAAGGAAAAAATTATGCATACATAAATATATGAAAATGCCTGCATAGTTTTAGGCTTCTCCCTCTCATTAAGTCAGTCTGTTGCCTATCTTTAGTTACAAAAAACGTTTAATAACCTTTTAAAAAAACAAAACCAACATTTATTTTTATCATTTAATATATTTTTTGTTATTCAAATTTAAATTTTTTATACAATTGCCAAAGCTGGAAATCTCAATTTTAACGTAAAATTTTGAAAGTTATGGGTAAAAAAAAATAATAATAATAACAATAAATTTAATAACAATTAAGGAAAATAAAAAATATCTTTGAAGAATTATTTCTAATTCAAAAACTAGATATATGTACACATGTGCTTTTGTAACCGAGGATTTTAAAAAAAATTAATAAAATTTCTCTACATACACATGTGTCAAGTGAGATGTTTGAAGTAATTACGCACTTTTAAGATTTTTGGCAAGTGAATGTCTTTTTTCGCAATGGTTTTGGTATATCAACGAACAAAAGTTGGAAGCAACCAAAACTTACAGCGTGAACAGCAAGAAAATTTATTGAATTAAATACAACTTTTAATTCAAAATTGCTTAACAAACTAATTCCCTTGCCGTTTTTTTTTATAGGTTTACTATGCGAAAAAGAAACGACGCGCTCAACAGACTCAAGGGGAGGATGATTCTTCGAATAAAAAGGAGCGTAAATTATATAACGACGGTTACGATGATGATAATCACGATTATATAATTAAAAATGGCGAAAAATTCTTGGATCGTTATGAAATTGATTCCTTAATTGGTAAGTCATCTATTTATACATACATATGTACATATTTAATTTAATAACATTTTGACTAATGTAAACGTCTCTGCACTACAGGTAAGGGCAGTTTTGGTCAAGTGGTCAAGGCATACGATCATGAAGAACAATGTCACGTGGCGATAAAGATTATTAAAAATAAGAAACCGTTCCTAAATCAGGCACAAATCGAAGTTAAATTGTTAGAAATGATGAATCGTGCGGATGCCGAGAACAAATATTATATTGGTGAGCATCGAATAAACTATGTAATTGTTTAAATAAATCTCATTATTATTCTTAAATCTCTCATTGCAGTTAAATTAAAACGGCATTTCATGTGGCGCAATCATTTATGTTTAGTATTCGAATTGCTATCCTACAATTTATACGATTTACTTCGTAATACGAATTTTCGTGGTGTTTCATTAAATCTAACACGTAAATTTGCCCAACAGCTTTGCACTGCACTACTCTTTCTGAGTACACCAGAACTGAATATAATCCACTGTGATCTAAAACCCGAGAATATATTACTTTGTAATCCAAAGCGTTCAGCAATTAAAATTGTCGATTTCGGCAGTTCATGTCAGCTGGGACAAAGAGTAAGTATAATTTAAAAATCCTCTACCATAGATACTGGACATCGTCTCCAGAATCATGATTCAGTTGAAAGCATATAATAACATATTCCCACCTTTATAGATATACCAATACATTCAATCACGTTTCTATCGTTCGCCGGAGGTACTACTTGGCATACCCTACGATTTAGCGATTGACATGTGGTCACTCGGTTGTATTCTAGTGGAAATGCACACTGGCGAGCCGCTTTTCTCCGGCTGCAATGAGGTCGATCAAATGAACAAAATTGTCGAGGTACTCGGCATGCCGCCGAAATATTTACTCGATCAAGCGCACAAGACGCGTAAATTCTTCGACAAGGTCGTCTCAGACGGCTCATATGTGTTGAAGAAGAGTCAAAATGGACGGAAATATAAGCCGCCGGGTTCGCGTAAACTACACGATATATTGGGCGTTGAAACCGGCGGACCAGGTGGGCGTCGTATGGACGAGCCAGGACATTCTGTGGCGGATTATTTAAAATTCAAAGACTTGATATTACGAATGTTGGATTTTGATCCGAAGACACGTGTCACACCATACTATGCCTTGCAACACAATTTCTTTAAGCGTACCACAGATGAGGGTACAAATACTGCAGCGAGCATAGCAATATCGTCACCGTCGGTGAGTTCAACGTCATCGTCTGTAGCGATGGTAGTGGGTAGTCAGCAGCAGCAACAACAACAACAGCAACAACAAAGTCAGCAACAATTATCATCGGGCGGTGTAATGCAACATCCAGAGCCACAATCGCATGGTGAGTCGACTAAACGCAAAAAATACTAGAAAATAAATTAAACAAACAGAACACAATGCATCCACTCACCCACTCATACACATTAATGCACTCAACTACACTTGCATATAATAGAAATTAGACGAGAAGAAATATGTTTTTGAGTTTTGAATTTTTCAACATTTACCATATTGATTAATATATATTATATATTTTGATTTAAATTTTATTTGTTTGAACTTTAAGTTATTATTTGGAAAAAATGTAAAATATTGTGTTCCTAATATGAGTGTTTTGTAAAGTTAGGCATTTGGGACTCTACTCGTGCATTTACAAAAATTTAAGATCGTTTAGCCGGAGATATGTATATATAAATTTATATATAGTAAATATATATAATGAATTGAAGATAATGAATAATAAAATGATTTATTATTGAACCTGCTTTCGTCTAACAAACATATGTACGAGAGTCCCGGATGTTTGTCTTAAAAGGTATGTCTTTTCGAATTTATATATAATCTCGTGCAAACACACATACCAACATACAAAGAAGTTTATTTATTATTAACGACATTTAATTATTATTATTAAAATATGATTTACATACATGCTTACATTTAATTTATTACCATATTACGTAACATAATTCATTCGCATATGAATTTTTTGTAAATCATCAGAAAGTACAAATAAAAAATAGAATTTGTGGCCTACGAGCTCACTTTAGCATAAAAAATACTATTTTTCCCCGAGGTTGATATTGTGTATTTTGCTTTTGTTTGGGGGTATGTATTCCTTAATGTTTATACAAAATACATTTGTATTATTATAGTTATGTTTGTTCCGTATAAAATTTTTTGTGTTTTGCCGACAAATTACTATGATAATGAAAGTTAATAATAATAAAGTCCCTAAAAAAGATTTAGGCATAATAATTAGCAATGCGTGTTTGAAAGCAAGATTCTCGACCGACAAAAGCCTATACCAGTAAATTTGCACAAAACACTTTGGCCTTGAACCATTTATCACATAATTTTTGGATGTCCGAATACGAAGTTTTGATTTTGGGACACTGCTCCAATACTTTGAGATATTCGAATCAATAATTTACAATTTGGAAATGGATGTCTATTGAGAATTTATATGTCGCGCAGAAACAGTTTAGTGTTTTGTTGTTGCGTCAAAGTGCAAAGTCTTTGGTTTTCAGATTTATATGTTTGGACACTATTTACGCAACTAAAACCCTAATATTTCACTAAAAAGCCTTTTTATCCAGAATATTTTTTTATGTTAAGTTCAGTTCATGGTATAATTTGTTACTTTTCAGTAAAAAATTATTATTTTTTTTTCAGGCCGATATTTGTCGAATTGCGGGCGAAGAAGTGGTAAATAAAATGCACAACTTTTCGAGTTATTCTTTTCTTTTTCTCTTCACAAACAACATCGAAGATACTGTTTTTTTTTTAATAATAAAAACTGAATAGCATTGTTTATAAAAAAATATGAAAAGAAAAATTAACTAACTCTCATCTACTAACTAACACAAACACACGCACGCTCACACACAGACGATCGGCGATGACCGGCATTGCCTCGGGAGCAAGGCAGCTTAGCATCATCTTCATCATCAACAGCTTCCTCAGGTTCGACAACAGCGGCTATTTCATCAGGGGCATATGGCGGCGGCGGTGGCGGATCGGGACAGACACAACACTATGTTTAAGGGAATACGAAAAGCACTAATGCAAGCATGGCGATTAAGTGCACATGTCATGTGTAATATGTATACAGTAGAGTTGTCTACGCATAAAACTAGAAATTAAAATGAAGTAGGCATTTATTCGGATAAGAGTACTAGCACCCAGTCGGCCAGTGAGCACCTTGGTTGCAACCAACGCCATCGGGTCAGCATCGTCAGTCACTAGCCATCATTATCATCTTTATTCAAATGTATAACGGTATATTGGTGATATTTTGTAGATAACATCACAACAAACACTTCATTGCAGGCAAAAATATTCAAAAAAGAAATAAAAACAAAAAAAAAACGACTACTTATATACATTCTGCATACTTACAATTCCATACATTCATATACATACATATATACTATATTAATTAATATTTATGCGAAAGTGAATTTAAATAAGGAAAAATGAACTTGAATTAAAACATAAATTAAAAAATACAAACCAAAAACAAATTGTTTGTAAGCATTTTGCAGTAATTGGGTCGATTGCAGAACTCAAATTAACGCAGGAGGAGCCAAAAGAAGAAGTAGAAGATAGAGATCTAAACAAGTAGTTTTATACACAAATATTCATACATACAGACCCTATACTTGCAACAATCAAGCACATACCCAAGGAGCTAATCAAGAAAAAGCCTAAAATTATGCATCACGATTTCAATATGAAAAAGTATTCTAGCAAACATATTTGGAAAAATAAGACAAATAAAAGAGAATTCGAAGAAAAACACAACATACAAAAGTTTAAACATTTATTTAACACCTTTACGTATGTGCAAGAACTAATAATGTTAATTATAAATCCTTTCAAGATCTTTAGTTATTTCGAGCAGCCAATGCTTATTTTATCTCTCTTTGCCACATCAATTTAAAGTTTAGCTTTTTTAGAAAGTAAACATTTGGTGTAAGAGAAGCTGGTAATGATCTTAAACTTTGATAGTCATAATGAGTTGTATGAGAAAATTTAAATCGTTTTTTGTTTTTGTTTTTGTTTTTAGTAAAATGAAGCATTTATTTCGTTTTTACCTGAGCTTTTATATTCTAATACAAACAAGTATAGATACGAATGTGTTTCTTGCAACATATGTATTCACTGCTTATATTAATTTCTTAAAGTAAAAAATGTATATAAATTCAAAAACTATTATTTATTGTACGAAATTATTTCTACCTTTTGAGACACTAATTCTAATTCTTCGTGTTTATAATTAAATAAAAATGTATTAAAATTTATACTACAAACATATAATACTAATTACATACTACGAAATATTTCATACGATATAATTAAAAATTTGCTCGTTTGACTGCCAACAAAGGAAAATGCTAAAACTTCTTGCAAATATATATATGAGAGCTTTCCTTCATTTAACCATCATTTGTATTTAAAAATATTTCGGCTAAAATAAAATAATAAGCAAAGAAAACAGCAAGCCACACTCAAATAAAAAATGAATAGAATATACAAAAACCCATGTAATTTTAAAACTAATAGGCCAGCGTTAAAGTTTAGAGATTAGTTGGGTACAACATTGTCGTAATCGAAATTTAATTAAAAAATATTTGCATATAAAATTAGAAATAGTTGAAGCAAAGAAAAAACTTAATAGAAAAGGATGGTAAATAAAATTACGAACACAGACTAAAGTTACTATTTGGTAGAAACGAAAAAATGAAAGGAAAGACACCAGAAATCCAAGCAAAAATATTAAGTATTAGAATTAATTTATTACTTTGGTAAAAAAAAAAAAACTATCTAAAAGCGGAAATATACAAAAATAATGTTTGGCAAAAAAAAAAAAACACAACAGAAATAAGGTATAATTAAAAATAATTAAATTGAAAAATAATGTATTCAAAAGAAGTTAATATCTATGCAATTATTCTCTCACTAAGAATAGCGAAAGCCATGCATATGAGAATTCAATCAATTACTCTGTTAATTTTAACCATGATATAGAACCGAAAGTAGTCTACAACAACTATGAAGAACTTCGGCAATCATTTCATGGTATAAAAGTCATTTTGAACTCGAAAAATTTATAAGTTCCGGCGTAGAAAATGCAGAAGGAAAGAAATATTTTAAGTCAAAATATATAATTATATATTAAAAAATTGAGCTTCGTTTAATAGCAACAAATGAAGGATAATAAGTTTGTTGAATACTAAATCTGGCATACAAAATTTTAGGCACTCTAGGGCAATGTTTAACCAATTAATCATGCAGTTAAGTGTGGCTGTGAACGCACGAGGCAGGTAAGCTGGCAAGTAAATAAGAATATAAAAGTTTGAAATCATTATCTTAGTTTGTTGATTTTCAGTCATATCATACTTAAGACTTCGGTGATTTGGTAAAACAAAATGCTTGAAAACTTTTTACATTCTCTTTACAAATTTTAAAAAAACTTGTACAAGCAGCATATAAAATTCGACTCTCTCTATCTAAAGTAAAAAAAACCACAAGAAAATTCAACATATTTCTGGGCAATATTGAATTGCAGTTTGGAAAATGTATTTTCCTTTTAACTATATATATCCATATATACGTACATGCATATTTTTCTAATTTTTTTTTCGAATTAAACCTTTAGGTAACCATAAATTCAACATTTTATTCTTGTAAAACTAACGTCATCATTGGCGGCTGCAACAGCCAAGGGGTTGGCATATTGTGTACTGCCATTCTGGAGTCCTGGTTCGTCCAACATCCAAAATTATAGAAAATATTTTTTTCTAATAGCGGTCATCGATTGCCAACCCCTCCGAGCTTATATCTCAAATGAAATTAGAAGCTTCTTATAAAAATCTATCGACCGATCGGAGACGGCTTAGAATAAACTATAGACCTCTCCATTTGTTGGACATTAAGAAGCATACCACAAATCGGAGAAGGAGCTCGGTCCAAAATCGTTTCAGCGGTTGTAAAGCGCCAGTTATATGTAACATCATCATACACGCATACAAATATACCTACTTGTAGGTAAGAGTTTTCGTTAGAGTCATACAAACAAAAATACATACATATAAGAAATCAAACTACCAAACCAACCGAACCAACAGTACTTCCAAATATACTCCTCCATTAACCGGTTACAGAGTAGTACCTTTGAAACATTAAAATAATGCAAGGCTACAGACATTTAAGCAGGAAATTATTTAATTGAAATTAGAAGAAGAAAGAAAGAAAACAAAATAAAATCCACGCAAAATACCTTAAAATCAGTGATTTCCGTTTTCCCTAAATATATATATATATAAATAAACTAAAAGATATTTAAAAGTACACATACATATACAGAACTAGAAAATAGCTAAAATTATGTAAAATATGTTTGTATAGGCCACTAATGTTGGAATTCAAGTAAAAAAGTTGCGAAACCAATTTGTTCTTTAGAAAGCAAATCATTTTTTTCTTACTTAGGTGTTACCTTAACTAAAATTTATTTTTTGTATTTGTAATGTTTTAAATTAACTTTTTTTGATTGCAATATTTTTGGAAAAATTATTGTTCTTTTATATATGTATTTATATATTATTTTAATTAAATAAATAATTTTAGCAGTTCTATTACTTTTTATTTCATCTTTATCGTAGTATAATTTCCGAAATTCTGTTACTTTGTTCAATTTCATTATCAGTTAATTTGATATATTTCATTTAAAAAAAAATCTAGCACACTCCATAATGCCCGTAGATAAATAAATTTAATTTAGATAAAAATTACGCAAAAAATGTTCTTAAAATTTTCATACGCTTTTCACTATTTATAGATTTAAAATAAAAAAAATAAAAATTTAGTTTTTAAAAAAGTGCCTCAATTTTTTCTCAAAATCATAAAATTCATACTACCATCTTGAAAGCTGCAAAAATAGTATCTACCGAGCTAAACTGAGCTTAATTATCCAAAGAAATCGGCTATACCTCTGGGACTTCATTAATTTTAATTTGTGCAGAAAAAACAGAAAAGGGTGTAAAATATTTTAAAATTATGTATATATTTTCGTGCCTTTTTTATGTTTATTAATTTACTCTATTAATTATTATTATGTCGTTATATGTCTTAAATTTTATTTTGTTTAATACTTTCTTACTTCCTCCTTAATACATTGCTTAAAAATATATATATTTTTTTTTAATTTTCAAAACCTTCCAAAAGTATTTCTATCAAGGAATTAGTTTTTCAATTACAAATAATAGTAATGTAAATCAATTCTACGCGAACAAACCTGTAAAAAGTGCAGATAATGAATAAAGACAACCAATTCAAAAATAAAGATACAACAATATTGATTTAAGAAACCGAAATGAAAATGAATTAGGCATAACGAAATGTATTGCATTTATAGGTGAATTTACCACCATAGAATTTAAAATTTACATACATAACTCTAATTACACACTTTTAGGTTACCAGAATGCATATAGTACAGAAATACAAAAATAGTTATCGAGTATGAAAAAACTAGCAAATTGCAAAAAAAAAGAGTTACAAATGTGCAAAATGAAAAAAAAAAATAATATAAATTAAATACAAATAAATGAAAAATCAACAACATCATATATACAAACTGAAGCAACCCTTCCCAAAACACCACAACTGCAATTAAATAAATATTTTTTGGGTACCCATACGTAAGGTGACGTGAATGTGTCAATCTAGTGAAAATCACTTTTACAAACAAACAAAAGAATGTTAACTAGATTTATACATTTACGAGTTGATTTGCCTGAATATTTCCGAAAGTATGCAGCCGAAAAAAATTAGAAATATCTATGAAGTAAAATTAAATAAATGATAAGAATAGAAAATAAATATAAGAAAATCAAGCATAATAAGCATAAATAAATAAAAATTAAAGATTTGTAAAATAGTAATTATAATCGAAATTTTAAGAATATAGAGGAGATCAAAGCAAAATGTCATTTCAGCGCTACACTGTAAAAAGTCATACAACCAGCAAGAGCGTATCCACGCTGTGAATATCCAAAACTCATTTACAGGTGTGAAAACTTAAATATTACATATAATACATACATACAGATCATACCGTAATTGATATGGCATAGTGAAAACAGGATAATTGAAATTTATTTACTATTAATTGAATTAATACAAATCATAGCATTTAAACAAAAAAGATAAAATAAGAAGATAAATAGAAGTATATACATTCACACATTCAAATGAAACTAGCTATCCTAGAATCATTCATATAATGTGCGTGGATGATAAGACATAACTAAAGCAAATACATATAAACATACATTAGTATTATATGCATTGTAAAAGTCACATGTAAAAAGTATACAGTAACATAATATAATTTTATGCGTCGATAAGTAAATTAGTATAATAAAATAAACTCAAACACCTACACACATGCATACAAATATGAAAGCAAAGGAACATGTTAAAAACAAATAAGTTAAAAACTAGTTTACAAAAAGTAAGAAGCATAATGATTTACATAGAAACATAAATACAAAAAATATATACGCAAAACGTAACATGAAATTGAAATCGCGCTATAATAGGGAGGAGGAGCAAACTTACAAATAAGCGGCTTAGCGAAAAATGATATTTTTAATATCAAATGTTGCAATTTTGTTTTAACCTAAAATTATTCAAATTACTTTTTATTTAGTTTTGAAGACATTTTTAAATGTTATTTGCATATAAACGCAATTCAAAAGCAGTATTAAATTCCAATTTTTTTTTTGATAAATAAGCATATTTTTATATTTTATAATGTGATGAAGAGGATAAAAAAAAAAGAAAAAATTACATAGCTTCTAAATTATTATAATTTTGTTTTCATCTGTACCAATTTTAAAAAGTGAACTCCTATTGCATTAAACTACTTCACAAATTAAAAAAATATACATATATATATATTAGTGTAAGTTCTTCAAATTTGTTAATTAACATATTTTTCTAACAACGGGCGTCATTTTGCGATTCCACAATTTTTTTTATTTTCTGTATTTCTGTTATCAATTCTCAAATTTGACCAGGATACAAAAACAACAAATATAACCATGCATATTTACTAGAAATAAAAATAAGTATAAAGCGAACACAGAAAAAAAAAATAAAAATTAATCGATAAAAAACCGGCGAATTTTGCTGTAATGCGCAAAGAAAACAGATAAAAGCAGGGCATTATGCAAACGGTAAACGCGCGTAAATTAAATAAACTCACATAAAAAGCATATATTTACTAACGAAAAATGTTATAAACCAACTTACTTCAGGATTTCAGTTTAAAATTACATAACACTTAAACACTTATTTATGAAAAAAGGCAAAAATTACATAAATAAAAATCAGTAAAAGGCAGTAACAACACATCATGAAATGTAAAAGTAATATAATACTCGTAATATGAATGCTAATATTAACTATAAAAAGTCTAGTATGTATACACAATAATAAAAAAAATTTAAATATTACTATATAAAAATAAAAAATAAGAAATCATTCTGCAAAACACTGACATTTGCAGCAGTTAGGGCGAATAGAAAGGAAAATAAGCATTATAAGTTAATAAAAATAAAAATTATAAACAAAAAAATTGCAAAATCTTTAATAAAAATATTATGATATAATCAACCAAAACAATCGACATTGTCCGTGTATTCTTAATTATTTTAAAATTGTTTTTGCGCTACTTTTTCAGCGAAAGAAGCTATGAAAAAATAAATATCTATAACTATTTTTCTCTCACACATGCAGCCGTTTATAAAGGAACTGTTAAAGTGCGTATAAATTTTTCAAAGCAATAAATTATTTCCAAAGATATTTAAAATTGCATATAAAAGAAAGTAAGAGTTTGTTGAAAAATAAAATTAGCATACAAATTTTTTGGAATATACTCATTATTTTTTGTTATAAATACGAAATGAAATTAATAATATAGTATCAATATCCAAAGCTTTCATCCAAAACTCATATAATTTTTTTTACGCCAATCCAATAACTATTGAAATGCCAAAGATGTTCTTTAATAAAATTTTCCTCTTTCTCACTCTTCTTCTTCCAGGTATGCTCTTACACCTCTCCTCCTCGAACTTATCGGCGTCCAATGCGTCCATACATGGCAACAGCAGCAACAACGGCAACCACCAGCTGCAGCAGCAAACCAACAGCCTCGGCAGTTTGAGCAGCAGTGGCAGTTTGACGGGTCTCCATCACACTGGTGGCCTGCTACACGCACGCGGTGGTCTGCGGGGCACGACCGCCGCACTCGCCTCCTCATATTCCATACCCAAGACAGTGTATAAAAGCCAGCAACAACAGCAACAAACACAAGCAGCCGCTCTGTTAGCTGCGCAACAGGGTCTACAGGCGCTACTATCGCCCCCGACGTCGAGTAACAATAGCGTCGGCGGCAGTAGCAGCGTCAATAGTAATAGTAATTGTAACAACAACAGCAATAATCATAACAGCTATCCGCATGCCATGGACTGTGATCCGCCCCAGATGCCACCACCGACGCGCTTCATTGGCTCAATGTCTAATTCAGCATCTGGTGGCTCCTCATCCTCGAATAGCAGTAATAGCGGTGGTGTTGGTGGTGGTAGCAGTGGTACTAATGGCAGCAGTAGTCGCATGCGTGCCGCCCATCATTTCCTCGCACCGCCGCAGAAGCCATCACACGGCCAACAACAACAGCAGCCGCCACCGCAACACAACAGCTATGCGCCGACCTCACTGCCAGTTGATTTGGTTCATCATTCACTATCGTCGGCCGCGTCGCATCTCATGATGACCGATTCGAGCGTGCTTTCGGCAAGTGCGGCTGGCACTACGTCGGGCCCACCCTCTTATACAACATTGTTGTATCAACAACAACAACAACAACAGCAACAGCAGCACCAACAATCACAGGTATCCGCTCATATGTATAACTCAATGCCGACTCAGCATATGATGTCCGTTGGCGAGATGTCGTCGCTGCAGCAGCATCATCACTTGCAACAGCAGCAACAACAACAGCATGCACATCAGCGTCGTGGTGGCAGCATCGGTGCTGGCTTCGGCGGTAGCAACAGCAGTTTGATTGGCGTCGGTGGCGGCTCTAACATGATGGGCGGCAGTAGTCTTATGAGCTCTAGCATGTCGGGTGGTGCTGCTGGTGCCACAGGTGGTGGAGGTGGTAGTGGAGGAAATGTCGGTGGCGGCGTTGGCGGAAGCAGTGTTGGTAGTGGTAGTGGCGCTGGCAGTGCTGATGCCTCCTCGCCTATGGTTGGCGTTTGTGTTCAGCAGAGTCCTGTAGTAATTCATTAGTTAGTTGTTATTACATGCGTCCATATGAATGTACAGATATTTAAATACATACATTTAAAATGGGCATAGAAATGTATGTATACGAGAGTATATGAAATATAAATATATTTGTATTGTATTTAATTTAAAAATCGCATTGAACAATAGTAAAAGAAATTCGCACACAATTGCACATGCACTCACACGCAGCCAAAAGCACACGCACATACTTATGTACGTACAACACAAAGTGACATTTCGCTTTTATTCAGAAGAGGGATTGCGTTACCAAAAGCGGGAGGTTGATACAAATGTTTATATGGATTTGTTTCCTCAAGGCCGCAATTGCTTGAAGTACAAAATTTCAGTTTTCTGATTGCTTTAGTAAGTCTTTAAATACAATCAACTTACGTTCCACAAAAATTACACGCTAATCGCATTACTGTACTCACAGGATGCACGATCCCATGCATTTCAACTCTGAAAAATTGCTTATACATTACTTACCAAATAAAAATTATCACCTAATACACACGGTTATGCAGTTATAACAACACTATTAGAATTGAATATCAACAGTTTTTCTTTTGAGGTTTATTAAAATTCTACAGTGCTAAACATCAGAGAGAGGAAATTATTTATTGTAGTAATACACATTCATATTAAAGATCAAAAATTAACAAGTTTTAAGAAAAGAATTGTAACAAAGTAGAGAGAACGGATCTCAGCACTTTGCACTTTGCAGCTGTCGACTTTTCTCAATCCTAAACTGGGGGCAATTTCAGTAACCTTCCTAATCACATCCACATGCGTACATACATATATACATACATAAATTCAAATGAAAAGTCTCTGGTGCGCATTTGTAGTTATGTATGTGCTAACGACTGCCGGCAGCAAAAAAAAACTATATATATATTGAGGAATGTATTGATGCAAAAAAAAATCGAAAAAAAAAGACTACCTTTATTTAGCTGTAATTTAAATTTATTGTAATACACATATTTGTGTTGCCTATCTCCATGACCTTGATGGCCGTGCGCATACCTTTATGCATTATGTATAGCATTATTCATATACTTAAACCCTATTTGAAAACAGCAGAACCATATATTTAAATAATAATAATTTTAATTTTATTTAGTTTAATATTTCAATTTTTCCTGTGTATATTCTGCGCTGCAAAGTTTTAAATGCCTCATCGTATATACATACATAACATAAATGTCCCATTTTTTTTTTTTTATTATTTTTTGTTTTTATATTCAGCTTAATGAACTTATTCTCGATTTAGTGGTCAATTACAGAAATAACTATATAGAATATACATACATATACAAAATGTTGATTTTCTCGCAATTTATAAGTAAATATTTTAGTTTCTTAAGACAGAATAGGAAAAATTAAATCTACGTAGCCTATAATAGCAGGAACAAATAACGTAAAGTGAAATCAAACAAAAAAAAAACTACAATAACGTGCGTAAAAATCTCTACATACATACATGTATAAATGATAAATATTTATATAAACCCTATTTTACACATATAGTTATAAAATTTCATATATTTCATTAGAAATATACAAATCATATACGATAAGTCCAAAAAACATATTTTTTTTTTTGTTCGTTTTATTACAAATGGGCAAGATTGGGTTGGCTTAATGGCGAGTAAAAGGAGTTAATGAATCCAAAGGTCTGTTTTCCGAAATAGTTCAATAAAGAAAGCTTTGGAGTTTAATAGTTGCAACATGCTGAATTTATTATTTTTGTTTTACATATTCATAAATATAGCTCTAAACATACAAATATGCGATGAGATATGCGAACACAATTAAGTAAAATTTAAGAATTCATAGCAGTTAAACCTGTATCTAAAAAAAAGTACTAAAAAAAGACAATTTAGAACATAACTTGCGCGCGATAATGCGTCTGCAATTTGTTCGCACGGCAACCAAGTTTCATTTGCCACTTAGCCTGCACTCGTTTCATTAGATGCAAATCGCGCGCTTTTCTAGCGGCTGCTTGCTGTTGCATATTGCTCCAACCCAATGCACGATATTCGCTGAGCACCTTATGCAGGCGACGATCTGACTTTTTGGGCACAAGCGCTCGGCTCGGATTAAGGCGTTGTTTATAATAGCGCAGGAGCGAACGATGGCCAATTACAGCACCAGAAGGTAGGACTAACTGATATTCATCACCATCAAGTAGATCGGGCACAACTTCCTCATCGACATCCATGCCTTCTGCCTATTTTGACGAGAAAAATATATAATAGTAAAACTAATTTAATTTGGTTTCTTCCTTTAACACTTACATGATCCGGATAACTGGAACTGTAATCATAGTAATCTGCATATTCAGCTAATGCTAGACCCTCGTGTAACATTTGACAGTGACCTTTGTCTACCATGTGTTTTCGCACCGCATCCAGTGAGTAGAATGTCTTACCACGATCATTGCACCACAAGCATATAAAGTAATTTGCCACTTTTTCGCCCAAATAGTTCAGTAGCCCTTCCAAGTCGGTACAAAATTCTGTGTCTGGTATGAAAAAGGAATGTGCAGTGGACATATGCTTTAAGTTTTCAACCATATCTTCGCTGGTATGCGTACAGAAGAGACAATCTTTTTCGCTAAGTGGATTTTCGGGCAGCTTTTCCCATTCATCAGAATCAATCTGTTCACACTGTTAAAAAGAAATATTGAATCAGTAGAAATAATGAAAGATATATTACTTTAATCAATGTACATACCTCCTCACCCTCGACAACTTCATATTCCCCATCGTCTTCCATATCTTCATATTCATCTTCCTCTTGCTCTCTTTGTAATTGTTTCTCCAATGCAAATCTTCCTTTGCCTTGTGCTGTAGCAGCTAGAGCAGGATGTGGTTTTTGCGGGACTACACTTTTTTTCGTTACCTCCAATTCTCCCCCTTTATGTTCTTTTTCAAAACGCAATAAATTATCCTTGTGTTTTTTGCTGTTTAAATGATTATCGTGTGCTTTTTGATTGCCAAATTGCTTGCGACAGGCATTGCAGTAGAAACACATTTGGCTTTCCTCCTCCTCTGTAGCCTTCTCCTGACGCAGACGGAGTACACGATCCTGAAATGCTTCTGCGCTGACAGGTGGAAGCTCAGCTACGCGACGTTTCAGATTGTACCGATGCCAATCGGTTTTATAATGATCTCGTTGTAAATCCGCTGAGGCGAATTTTACACAGCAATTTATGCAAGTATAAGTTGACATTTTGATTTTATTGAATTTTTTTCAAATGTTTTGCTATTAACTTAAACCGAATTTATTTTACTAGTAACTTACTAGTATAAACGAAAATATTTCACAATTTGCACAAATGCACGAGAATGGCTGAAAAAAAAACAAGACACGTTCCGCGAAAAACTGACAGTTGCTTAGCGTTGCCAACCACCCGAGAGATAGTATAACAATTTTAAAAGCAACGAAACGAAATCAATAGAATTGTTATTTTGGTTCAAATAACTGTACGCTCAGTAAATTGATTATTTAATAAAACAATAGTGAAAATGCAAAGAATATAGACATCATTAACGTAACATTTTCAATTCCTTTATTTATCATGATAAGGCATAAATATTTATGATTTATTTAAGGACAAAGAAAAGGTAAGACCTTAAAAATTGAATTTATTCCGTGTATTCCTTTGATTTAAAATGTATGCTATTTCCAATTATTAGATTAAGTTATTTCCATAAAACTACTTTACACTTCTAAAACATTATCTAACCACTCTTGTATATCATCCTTGTGAGCAGAAACATTCTCGCTATCAGCTGGTATAGGTACTGCTGCATTTTCCGCACCACTGCCATTTCCCACACTTATGTCAACTTTTGTAACGGCTGCTGTAGTTAAATTCAACAACTCATCTAATTCATCTCCCACATTAGTTTCACTTGCTTCCACATTATTCGGTTTGAGACTATTCTGTGAGCGGCCTGAACCACTTTTCCTACTACCACTATTAATTTTAATGCTCGGATTAGTTTCATGCTCATGTAGCACTTTCTGATAATTTTTCTCTGCTGCTTCTGCTGCATTTTCCATAGTACGCAATTGATCACGGGTAAACAGAGACGCCGCATAATCCATCCGTTTATAAAATGGTATTGTTTGTAAGCCAACATTTAAAAGCTTTAAATTAAGAGTAAAGTACTGACTAGCCTCCGTGTTGTCCAAAAATTGTTCAGTGTCTACAGAGTCCCAATTTTTCTCAGATGAGAACTGAAAGTGACCACCAACAGACGTAGGTAGCTGTGACATTAAACCGAAATCACCCGCATTCATTTGTGCCGACTCTGCTTCATTCAAATCGTTTTCCTCATCGTCTAGTGAGTAACGACGTATTTGTGGTTGTGGTCGAGAAGTAGCCCAACCACGCCGTGAAACAAAGCGTTCATCACTTGAATCTGCTACATCAACTATGCCACGCATCACTTCAACCTGGGAACTGGAAGAAGTGTTGTTATTATGTTGCACAGGAGCCTTTTTGCGATATTGCTTCATTTTACTGCGTTTACTGCAATATTGAAAATTATTGATTTGCCGAGTTCATAATCACTACTTTACAATTACGTTATACTCACTCCTTTGATCGATTATCCTTGCCTTCCATATTAAATATCCTTATTTAAGAGAATGCTTGCTATTTGTTTACGTTGCTAAGGTAAAAGCTGTGTTCGTTGAGAAATGTCAGTATAATCTAACTAGTATAAATTCTTCTTCCGTGTAAGCCAGCCCCATTAACTCAGTATAAAAATATAATTTATTCGATTCTGTTGAAATAAATTACAAGCATGAGCTTTATTCTTCCTTCTTTTCCCCACCAATATCTCATTTTGTGCATTATCGTCGCTTCCGGAAGCCTAATGCATTATCGTCGCTGTGACCATTGCAATAACCTTGCTTTGCAATGTTTTGCGGCTCATTTGGTCGACACCGCTTTCTAGTAAATTTAAGGAATCCAAAAAAAGAAATAATAGCATATTCCTTCTTTGACCACACTTATTTTGCTAGAAAAAAACTTATATTAAATTGTTAATATTATTTTATTTTTAAATCAGTTCTGTTTTGTTGACAAAAATTCAATCATATGATCACAAATCAGCTGTTTTTCATATTTGCTAGTTTTTACTGGGTAAAATTTTCCTAGCACGAATTTGCAACTTTCTCTCAAATTAAGCGTCAAAATTTGCGCTCTCTCGTACCAATTTTTATTGAGTTTGGTAAAAATTGTTACTGTGTATCTGATCAACGAACAAAAGTCATGATGAGAGGTGACATGAGCTTATGCGGCCGTGTTCGCGTCAATAGTTGAACAGCTGAATTGTGGAAATACCCAGAAGGAAAATTATTCATAGTATTATAGGGATGATATGTATGTCGAAATCAATTAATTTGAGATGTTATGTATGACTCTAAATAATTATTACAATGTGTTATTATTCTTTTGAAACGTAGAGCTAATAATAAAATCTTTAGAGATTTACTAAAAGAACCATTTAACAAATGTTGTGTATTTAGAACAGCCGCTTTATAAAATTTTGAGGTGCTTCTACTCGAATTTCTGGTTTTCGTTTCAATGTTTTCACAAAAAATTTTGAGATGCACAGTTTTAATCCTCTCGGTGGTCTTGGTACGCCCTGTTTAGGGTCTGGCGCTCGCCGTCATCACATTTGTTACTTTTACGTACGTAAATACATATAACCAAAAACACCCTCTTGCTCCAAAGTATGTATTTACATACATATGCCATAAGCATCGTCATATAACTTTACACGTTGGTAATCTTTTCATGTGCATGCATAATTAAAATGAATAAATAAATATAAAAAAATCAGCATTTTTAACTCGAAAAGTTCACTCAAGAAATGGGTACAAAAAAAAACAGCAATCAAAAGTCTACCCCTCAAACTTTTAACCACGTGGATAGGGCTGTGTCTTTGCCTTTGCACCACTTTCCACAGCGATAAGTAGGAAATAAGTGAATGTTGCTGCTCGTTAGCCAGTTGCTGCTGCGCTTTTTAGGTATTCAGCTTTATTGGCAGCAAAATTGCAAAAAAGGTATGCGTACTTAAGGCATACCAATTCTTCATATAAATATACGACTAAATATGTGCAACGAATTTCTGAAAAAAAAAAAAATGCATTGAAAGAAAACAGTGGTGCACTCACCTTCGGCAGGCAGAAATTAAATGAAAAAGCGATGAGCACTGCGTGCGTGTTAGAGAAAATAAAAATCACAGTTGCAACGAAAGGAAGTAAAACAAATAATTGCAAAATATAAATTTATAATGAGATATGTACAAGAACATACGCGCAGTTCACTTACAAAATATACATATGTATGTATGTATAATCAAACTAAGCCTTATAACCGTTTGAGCAATTTTCGGCGGTTTGGTGGTGTGCGCCTTCAAACTTTTTCACACAAATGAAGGAGCTTAAAATTCATTTAGAAAATCGCTTCTTTTCGATATTAGTCTGGCCGGAGTTTGAACACAAAACCTTCCGACTCATAGCACACATTGCTACCCACTCTATAACACTGCTCCCGCCTCACTTATAAACAATCATAAAATTGTCTACACAAAATTTCTATGTGGAATGTGGCAAGTTGCTGGCATAGGCACCTGCTTTTCGAAACGGCTGAAAAAGTTGTACAAGGACACTTCTTTGCATAAATGGCAAGAGATTTTCTTGTGAATATATTGCGCATTTTAATGATGACTATGCTGGTGCGCTACACTAAGATGGCGTTGCAAGTTGTGTTCTGACACAACGCGAGAGAGTTTCCTTTTATTTTTATCTTCTGTCGAGAAGCTGCATTATGTCCCTCTGATTGTTACAAAGAGGAATTGTTGCGTGGAAAAGCCTTTTTAAATATCAGAAATGTTTGTTTTTTTTTCGTTATCACTCAAGCTGTTCATTATCCCATCGCCATTCTTTGATTACAAGATTGATTTTTTTTTATTAAGATTAGAATTATAATGATTGCTTGTCCGGCTCCGATTTTGACAGGCCATAAGAACTCGGAGTATAGCTCATCTCCTTGGCCGTCGTAAGCACAAGTGAAATATGATTATAATCTTAATTGCAATTTACAAAGAAATTTCGCTCCAACGGTTTGATATAATTACTGTGAAAACAAGTTTTAAGTGTGTGGTTGCATTGCTCACTTCAGCAATTATTTGTTAAGAAAAAAGCTGGAAAACTTTATTGCAATTTGTTTGCAAATCAAAAAGAAATATGTCAGCACTATATATGTGTGTATATATAATATTATATAAAGCAGAATTTACGTACACAAGTGACTGTAATTAAAATAGTGCAGCGAACTCACACGTGAGTGTATCTGCCCGAATCTTTTCTACTCCTCCACATACATACATATGTATGTACGTACGGATTCACACGCTCTTGTACTGTGCAGCTACACAAATTTCTTATCTGATAATTTTAAGTGTGCACTTGTTATGCAATTAATGCCACATTCATGTAGGAAACCCTCCAGCAGCTGTAATCAAAGCATTAACGCTATCCTAAAGTGTCATCACCATTCGCACACAAACAACAAACAACTAACAAGGGCCGCACCTCGGACGAGAGAGATCAGTACTTTGTAGACATAAAATATGTGGTTTTGTAGCTTTTTCATCACTATACGCCCAATGCAATGATAACAGTAATTTTTAATAAACAGACAATAAAGCTGATTAATAAAACCGAAAACTGCATAGAGGCATAAGAGTAACAAAATATTTTATTTTCTTCGAAATTTCGTGTGCTGAGCAACAACAACTGTGCACAACAGTAGTGGTAGACATCAGAACCCAACGAAATTGCAGAAAATGACAATAATGCTTTGGATGCGGTGGTGACTTTTAAGCAATCTGTACATCGATTCGCATTAAATTAAGCGTGAAATTTACACAAGCACGGATTTGTTACAAACAAGTGGTCCTTCATTAGCAGTAATAATAGGCGATATGTATAATAATGGGCATATGATTTAATGTACGCACACACACACACGCTCCCTGAGTTCATCCCTAAGTCTTTCTTGTCAGTGTTCTTTACAAACTATCAAACAAATATCAAAATCTAAACAAACTGGCTTATTACAAAAACAACAACAAAAATCACTGCAACAATTTGCTCTACAAAATGAACACTTAAGAACGTACTTCATGCATTATTGATAGTATTTTTGTTTAAATAAAACATTATTGTCATTTCCATACTCGCGCCTTTTGTTTCCCCCCTCTTCCTTTTTACTTCCGTGTTGCTGTTTTAAAGGGGTGTGTTTAAAGCTCTGAACACTTGCGACACTACAGTACGACAACGACCTATTCTAGTCCACAAAATACTGTTTACCTGTATGTTTTTCAGCTAAAAAGTTTTAAAAATGGATATACCCATTCATTTCAATTTCGAGAATGTATTTATTGTAATAATTTGTTTAAATAGTTAGAATAAGAACAGTCTCCAATTCTAGTTCTATTCTTCTTCTTTTTGAAATCTTATTCAATGTTCCGTTTAGAACATTCAGACAATTTTGCTCTTTGATTCCAAAAGCATATTTTAAAAGAGGTTTAATTTTTCATTAGCACTTGCATTGTTTGTACATTCTACTGCATTTGACATACATACATATCTGATTCGCTCTTTCATATTAAGAAAGCAGTTGGTCGACTTTCAACTAATTTTTAAGTTAATAATTGAATTGATTTATATATTTATTTAAAATCAGTTGAACCAGAATTTTTCTTTTAGTTCTCGACATCAAGCGAACTACTCCCCTCGAGCGGTAGGCGATAGGAAATAATAATAATGAATGAAAAGATTTCATAAAAATCCATCAACCGATCGGTGATCTAAACTATAGATCTCTACATATGCACACCACAAAATCAGAGCATGAACTCAGCCGCAAATCGCCCCAGAGGTCAAGAAGCGACAATTACAAATAAATAAATAAATTTGACAGATGCCACTTGTCGTGCCGTCGTACCCTAAGTGTTCTAAGCTTAACTTCCATTGTCGTCATGGGTGTGTTTAAGTTTTGCCCTGTTTTTTTTTTGGTTTGACACCCACCACTTCCGCGTGTGTTACTTGCCTTTGCCTTTGGCTTATTTAAGTTTCAATTACACGTGGCTTTTTGTTGTTGCGCATGTTGACTATGAAAACAAGGTAGTTAGTTTATGAAGATAAATCTTTTAATTTATCGCATTGAAAGCAGTTTATCACGGTTATTTAGTCTATAAAATACAATAGTGAAAATCATAAAATATTCTAATTGAGCTGTAATGTAGGAGTGTAAGCTAATTTACAATTTGGTAACATTCTCTGCTCCTTTATATGTATATACATATGTATGTACGTGTATGTTTATACAGCTTGTTCTATTAGATAAGTAAATTCAAGTTGGCTGCGACTACTTTTTCAAACAACTAATGCTGACCGCTGTGGCTTCTCAATTCGTTTAAGTGAAGGCTTTTAATATGTAACTCCAGTGCGACAATTGGTTTATGGGGACTCTTGTCGGGAAAAAAAAAACCCGGTACATCATGGTGGCACAGTTTATTTAACAAGAAAGTGAAGACAACTCTAGGCCGGGAATGAGCATCGGGACGACCTTAAAATCTAAAAAATTGTCGTCGACAATGCTCAACTAAAAAAGAGCCAACTCGCAGAAATGGTTGAAGTATCCACCTTGCATGACTAAGGACCAGCACAATCTTGGATCATGGGAAACTATTAGCAGCAGTTACGCCTCAATATTAGAGCGACAAAATAAGCCACACAGCCTAGACCTACTCGCGGGTGGTTATTAGCTGTTTCCAAAATGATAAAAAAGACCTTACGGGTAAAAACTTTATTACTAATGATGAAGTTGCGGAAGCAGTTTCGGCATATTTTGAAGATGGAGGCAAAACATTTTTTATAAGGGTATAAATAAATTTTTTTTTTGTTCGAACACATAAACGCTACCCCGACACACAGAACGGTGTCGATTGGAA